ATGTCTGTCATGAGAGGTGTCTGTCTAGCAAAGTGTCTTTTAAGTGAGGGTTAAATGATAAAAATTGTGCCACAGTTCTGGAGCCCAGAGCCTGAAGTCATGGTGTGGCTGGGCCAGGCTCCAACCAGGATGCCGAGGGACCATCCCTATCTCCCATGGTCTTGATGTTCCTAGAAGCCTTTGATGATACTCAGACTGAGCACACACCACTCCAGGAGCCCCCTGCTTTATCCTGTGTATTCTTGCTATCATCAGCTGGCTGGGTCTGTTAGCTAAACTGTAAGTAGTCGAGTTGCTTGTCTAGTGCTGGCAGACCTGGCCTCGTGAATGTCAAAAGCTTGTGTGAGTACCGAAGATGCCAAACTTGACTGATGTTTACAGTACTGAGTACCAGAAGCTTCTTGTTCTAAGGTCATAGACATATAGCTCTAGATACTCAGCTTGAAGTCTTACTGCCCCAGACTTCAGTTTGTCAGTGTCCTGGCACTGGCCAGCTGGAGTTATCTTCGTCTTCTATCAGCTTCTAGAGATAAAGCAATCAGAACCATGTAATGTTACAGCTTTCAAGCCTTCTGTATCATGATCAATGGCTCCTAATGATAGCAAATGTCACAGTTATTGAGCCTTAGATGTCAGGACCCTTGGCCTTAAGGCTTGACAGCAGTCTAGGACACTTCCAGAAATGGGGCTGCAGGTTCCTCTACAATCTTCTTTAAGCCTTCATGCTCTCTGACACCTCTGATCATACCGGCTGTGCCTAGAACTCTTCTGAGCTGCCTTCCTGCTGCTCTGTGCTCCGCAACTGGCTCTGCACCACGGTTGCTACTTCTCTGTGATCTCTTGGTGTTTCCAGCACAGGCTCCTCGATTTTTGAAAAAAATCAAAAGTAAACAAAGTCAAGACCTCTTGGAAGAAGACTTCTATTGGATTTCAGGACCAGGAGTAGTATGGAAGTGTGTCTTTCAGTTGACTTGAAGTGAACCTGCTTATGTAATCAGAAAGGGATGTGACAAGGATCACAATAGACTTCATGAAAATCAAAGGTGGTGTTGTGCTAATCAGGCCTTCTGTTGGGTCACCAGGGGAAATGCTTTCCTCTGGCCTGGATGAACATAATTGCAGGGTTATTTAGAGCTCACTACAGTAGGCTTTGCAGAGTGGTCATGGCTGGAAGGCATCTTCAGCCATGTATCACCTCTGAGACTTCCGGAGGAGCCTTAGAATGACTGTAACATGTGCAAAGTCACCGACTTGCTATGTAAGCAGTATGGCTGCTAGCCAGAGAATGGGTGGCTTGGCTGATGGTTCTCTGCCAGGCCTTAGGGAAGGGCCTGTAAATGGCCGCTTTGGACAGTTTCAGTCACTTACAGAAAGCATTAGCTGTGTGTCCACAGAGGAGACCTAAGGAGAGCTCAGCACAAAACTGACTACCCTGGCAGCATTCAGCTGTGCTTTACTGTACTCACCCTCTGCCGCTACCATCCAGGGATGGGCAGGTCCATCTGTCAGTTATCTTGTCACTGGGTTAAATGAGATCAAGAAGCAGTTGGTGAGAGCAGACTTCCTTCAACATGACTTCATCTTAATTTCCTTCTATATGCAGGCCCTGGTCCCAGCAAGGTAACATCCTTGGGGTCCACTGGACACAATCCCTCAGATCTTCCTTCCCCTGTCTACCCCCTTCTGGGTCATGTTCCTTCCTCACTGAGCACAGTTCACAGAGGTCTATATGTACTTGCAAACCCCAGCTGTTCTATTATCTCTCCTCTGGATCTGTTGGTATATCACATCCCTTCTAAGGATACTAAGAAGTAAGGTATCTGGGAGAGTCCCCTTTGTGCTGTAGTGGCGTCATGAGGCCAGCCAGCTCCATGACTTCCTGCCTGAGCTCTTCCTCTGGTCATGGCTGGTCATGGCTGGGCTCACCCATAGACCTCAGCAACCTCTGCCTTAGGAGCTCCTTTCAACACTGATTCTATGACAGCCATGTTTCTTCTTGTCCTGCTCCTGGCCTTCTCAGTGCCCGACCCTCATATCAGGTACTCTCAGCTCATGTCGCCTCTTCCATCATCCCTTCTTGATTTTCCTTGTTGGGGGGTTTCAAAGGTGAAATCTTTCTACACTTCAACATGGAGCCCGACAGGCTGAGTACGTAACAGAGAGTGTGTGCCCTTCCTATACCCTGTACCCTCTGCTCCACCCTGTCATGTCTGCCGTAAAGGGCACTACTCTGTGTGCAGCCCTGGGGCAGCTAGGCACTGAAACCTCTTCAGGGAGTCTGGTGACAATGCCCTTTAGGTTCTGAATCAAATATAGATTTGAATCTAATTATTTTAATTAAAATTAAGATTTTTTTTTTTTTTTTGGTCATCAGTTAGGTTACTCAAAGCAATACATCTTCCTTCAAAGAAGACACACGAGAGGTTAGTTAGTACCTTCTCTTTGTAAGTTAGAAAATAATGTGCATTTTGAATTTTTTATTGTATTTGGTTGGTTGGTTGGTTGGTGTAGAGGAAGAATGTGCGTGTATTTGGGTGTATGCACATGTATCACGGCATGTGAGTAAAAGTCAGAGGACAACTTGTAGGGGTGAGTTTCTTTCTTCCACTAGGTAGGTTCAAAGATTCAAGCTCAGGCTGTCAGGCTTCGTGGCAATGCTGTGGGTCCTGATAATTCTTTTCTTTTAATTTTATTCCTTTTTAAAAATTTTTTACTACAATTTATTTACTTTGCATCTCAGCTGTAGCCCCCTCCCTCATTTTCTCCCAATGTCGCCCTCCCTTCCTCTTCTCCTCCCATGCTGCTCCCCCAGTCCACTGATAGGGGAGGTCCTCCTCCCTTTCTATCTGATCCTCACCTATCAAGTCTCATCAGGACTGGCTGCATTGTCTTCCTCTGAGGCCTGGTAAGGCTAATTGCCCCCTCCCATGGGGAAATTATCAAAGAGCCAGCCACTGAGTTTATGTTAGAGACAGTGCCTGCTCCCCTTACTAGGGTACCCACTTGGACACTGAGCTGCCATGAGCTACATCTGTGCAGGGGTTCTAGGTTATCTCCATGAATGGTCCTTGGTTGGAGTATCAGTCTTAGAAAAGACCCCTGTGCCCAGATTTTTTGGTTCTGTTGCTCTCCTTGTGGAGCTCCTGTCCTCTCCAGGTCTTTCTATCTCCCTCTTCTTTCATAAGATTTCCTGCACTCTGCCCAAAGTTTGGCTATGAGTTTCAGCATCTGCTTCAATACCCTACTGGGTAGAGTCTTTCAGAGACCCTCTGTGGTAGGCTTCTGTCCTGTTCCCTGTTTTCTCCCCCTTCCAATGTCTATTCCATTTGCCTTTCTGCATAAGGATTGAACATCTTACTCAGGGTCCTCTTAATGCTTAGCTTCTTTAGGTGTACAGATTTTAGTATGTTTATCCGATATTGTATGTCTAATATCCACTTAAAAGTGAGTATATACCATGTATGTTTTTTTGCTTCCAGGATACCTCATTCAGGATGATCTTTTCTAGTTCCCATCATTTGCCTGCAAATTTCATGATTTCCTTGTTTTTAATAGTATTAAAAACTGAGTAGTATTCCATTGTGTAAAGGTACCACAATTTCTGTATCCATTCCTCTGTTGAGGGACATTTGGGTTGTTTCCAGATTCTGGATATTATGAATAAAGCTGCTCCAAATATGGTTGAGCAAATGTCCTTGTTGTATACTTGAGCATCTTTTGGATATATGCCTAGGAGTGGTATAGCTGGATCTTGAGGTTTCTTAAGGAGTGATATTTCTTATGAGGAAAAAAATGGCTTTCCCAATTGCAGCCTCTCCTCCCTCATCTCCCTGTTCTACACTGCTTCTTTCATTTCAACAAAGGTGCAGGGATTGGAAATCAGCAGAGTTTCTCCTCTGGTGGCATCTGCTGCTTCTCAGCCCACTTTGGTCCCAAACTGAGGAGCCAGTACAGTGAGTGCCAGGACACTTCAGTCAAGTCTCACACCCAGACCAGAGAGTGGCTGAGCACTTTCTCCATTTAATTCTCTTTCCTGCCCTTTAAGTAGGTCTTGACTTATAAAACTTTGAGTGTCATCTGCAAAGAATGAAGCCCAAGCAAGGATTGTGGGGGATGCCACAAGTCTCCCGTGTCCTCTGGGCTCTGGCGCATCACCACCCCCACCTGTTAACTGCCTTCCTTGGCTGAAGACTCCCATCTCATCCAGCTGTCATCTACCCAGGCTCTGGCCTTACCTTTCCTGTACTGATGGCTGGTCCCTCTGACCTGGGTAGTATGAATTTCAGGGTGTATCAGGGACATCAGTTCCTGTCCCTATTTTCACTGAGTCCCTCACTGGCCCCAACCCTGTCTTATTATCTGTGAGGGGCTGCTCATGACTGCAGGATTTCTACTCTTGGGAAAGCTGCTCCCACAAGACCTGGGTGAGGACTAGGCTTTCTCAGGGAGTCTTGGTGGAAGAGAGTTGCAGGGTCTTGTCTAAACAGATGAAGTGAGTTTAAACTAAAATCAGTTCTCCCTAGCAGTGGGGCTATATCCTCGGGTTGGAGATAAAATGGGGGGGGGGACTCTCTTTTATGGTAAATTATTTTTTTTTTGCATATGACAAAATCAATTCTTTAAATATAATAACTTCTCCAGCACAGCAATGAACTTACTGTCTGTCCACCACCTTTTGGTGAGTCTAAACTACTCACTTAGTTTAGAAAAGTCCAGTATCACACTGGCTAATTTGAAACACATTTAAAGCATAGAATTGGCATTTTTGTTTCTCCTCAGCAAAATAGGGAGTCCCAGCCAATCTTGCTGGTTTTATTTATAGCATTTTATTTCCTGAGAGAAGACAGGAAAAGTGAGTCCCTGCCTGCTCCTCTTGTCTGACTCCTCCCCGGCCCCTGTCTGGAAAGCTTTGGGTGGACTTGTAGGAGGGGCTTCAGCTCAGAGGGGCTGGATTTGGACTGGGTAGCCAGGTACTTTGAGCAAATGGTGAGACCAGAGGAGGAATTATGACACTCCTTCAAAAGAATGAATTAAACGTGCCTCCGCGTGTGTCTGATTGACAGGGCTCTTGGGGAAAAGGCGTATAAAGGAGCCGGTCACTGCCTGGAGGCAGAGAGAGCATCGACTGTCAGCAGCCTCCCTGGCCAGGTCACTCGGCTAGTTTCCTCGGGACAGACTCAGAATACTGACATCGGTCGTCATTCATTTTCAAATACATCAGGTACCTTTTTTATTTCTAAAAAATATTTGTGTGTGTGTGTGTGTGTGTGTGTGTGTGTGTGTGTGTTTTAGGAAAGTGCAGATGTGGCCTCTGATGCCTTGCAGAGTGGCTTCCTCACCCCAAGTTTGCCTTGTGTAGGGACCTGCCAGGAACTTTTGTCTCCAGGGTCTTTACCGGTCCTGCCCACAGCAGGAACCCTATGAAGTAAGGGTCTGACTGGCTTCATTCCTAGGGTGGGAAGAACGCACACTCAATTTCTACTTTAAAATAAGAAGGTTCTCCACTGAAATTTGTTACGGAGGAGGAAGCAGAGGAAGGACTGTCAAAGAATCCCTTGAAAACGTGAAAATAATTAGAGGGATTATAGGGATCCTGACTGAAAACATTTTTAACATCTGAACAAGTGTTGCTGTCATTATAATGTGGGGGGGGGTGTCACTGATGTGAGTGTGTTTGGGTTGCTGCTTGGATAATTTGCATACAATAAGAGTTGGTAGCCTGGGGCAGCTAAAAGAAAATGATGTGGTGGAGAGGGTAGAGGGGAGGCAGGCAGAATAGCAGGGGTTGAAAGGGCATAGAAACCACCCAGCAAAGGCACTTTCACTTTGAATGTTCTGTGAAGTGAACCCTTTAAGACCTATATAAGTTGTGATAACAGCCTGTTACAGAAAACCTTCATGAACGTCTACCCATAAGCCAGCAGTGTGGACTTGTGGTCAGGGAAGAGTTCAGGGGAGTTGTGTGAGTGTGTGAGTGTGTGTGTGTGTGTGTGTGTGTGTGTGTGTGTGTATGTCTAGCTTGGATGCAATTGCAGTGGCTGCTAGGAAGCTTGTTTCAGAACTTTTCACTCCTTTGTCCCTTTTTGGTTTGGGGAAAGCAACAACATGAGATGGGATCTTAATTAATGACTGCTGATTATTTGTGACCCTCCTGATTGGGGTTGACTTTTCACCCAAACACGGGTTAATGTAGTCTGCTTCTGCATGTATGCTGGACACCTTGAGCTGTAAAATGTCATTCTGAGATGGAGCTTGCCTTTGCAGAGCCAGCATCTTGTAACTGTCCTTGGGATAAGGTGAAAGTTGGGGTTTGGAGTTCAAAGGCAGGTGTCCTGAGGCACACACCTTGTTAATGACTCAGTGAGAGGGAAGGCTAGACTCTGAATCTTCAGGTGTGGACTCTGAAGGTTCTCTGAAGTGTCTGACAGGGTCTGCCTCACACTTGAATTCTCAGAGAAATGCCACTTCAAGAGGTGACATATGAGCCCTCCACACCTTGGTTAGCTGTGCCTCAAATAGCTCCATGAATATTCATTTGCTTAGGGTCTCTCTTTAGCACCCCAGATAGGCTGATATTTTAAGAGTAAGTTTGATTTGTTTTTTCCAAGCCACGGACAAGGAAACTGAGTCAGAGGATGAAAAGTTGGGTGGCAAAGCTAGTGTTAAGAGTTCAGGTGAGATGGTAAGTTTCGTTGCCTCCTGCAACTTGACTTTGCACTCAGCACATGAGCACTGGTGACTGCTTTAGGAGCCAAGCCCAGGTCCTCTGAAACTGAGGGTCTTGCCCAACTGCTCTTCTCCGGGGAGGAAACTTTCCCTCTGTGAGGCCACTGTTTCCAGCTTAGCAAAGTGTTCTGGAGAAGGGGACTGCTTGGATGTCCTTATCCATGAGAGGCTAAGCCGTTTTAGCCATCTAACAGAGATGAGGGACCGCAGTGTATGGGTCAGTTTCCACAGGGCAGGGTGTGACAGGCCATAGCCCCGTACGCCTCTTAGATGGGAAGCTAAGACCAAAGCTCAAGGAAGCCGCTAAGGAGTTAACAGAGGAGCCAGGCTCCAGGCCAGGCCTCCTGACTTCTGATCCAGAGTCTGCTGAGCCAACTTAGAATCCCTGAGAATGGAAAAACAGGCCTGCAGGAGAATAGAAAAGCATGGTAAAATCCTTGCTGAGTCGAAGTTTCTGCTCTCCCTAAGAAAAATGTGGAGTTTATTCCTAACTTCTAAATGCAGTCAGTATTGATTGTGTTTAATTAAGTTATGCATAACTGGTTTTCCTGGATAGTTACATAGAATGCCTTTTCAGAGTGTTCTGACTCTGCAGGATACTCCATGGGTCTAGGTCTCTAAATCTTGGCAACTGGGTCTACAGCAGAGTCTCAGGGAAACAAACAATGCTATGGCATAGCCTCCACTTGCTCCTCCAAAGAGCAGGCACAGTCACAGCCACAGGACCCCCAAGTTGTCATGGTGATAGCACAGCAAGGGGGCGTAGAACCCCCTCACCTCAGTGTCAGGGAGAAGCAGTGGGGTAAATGCCAGCAGCAGCTGGAAGAGCCTAGCTGGGAAGGAAGTGTCTTGTCTAGAGCTTGGCTTCCCACAGATACATTTGCTTCTGATTTTTGTGTGAAAACTGTTTTTCAAAGGTCACGTGAGCAAACTTCCCAGTGACACTCAGGCTGCAGCTGTGCAATCATCACCCACGAGACTGGTTTTCTCCTAAGTGTCACGGGTGGAGACAGGATGCTCTGGGCACTGGCCCTGCTGGCTCTGGGCGTGGGGCCAAGAGCTTATGGTGAGTATGGACATAACCCATGTCTCTGTTTGTAGCGTGTCTTAGCTGCAGGCCAGGTACAGCATACAGTTGTAGTTATATCTAGCACATGAAGACATGAAGCTTTGTCTTTCTTTCTTTCTTCCTTCCTTCCTTCCTTCCTTCCTTCCTTCCTTCCTTCCTTCCTTCCTTCCTTTCTTTTCTTCACTCTTTCTTTTTCTTCTTTTCTTTTCTTTTTTTTTTTTTTTCAAGACAGGGTTTCTCTGTGTAGCCTTGGCTGTCATAGACTCATTTTGTAGATCAGGCTGGCCTCGAACTCACAGAGATATGCCTGCTTCTGCCTCCCTGAGAGGTGGGATTACAGGTGTGTGCTACCGCACCCAACACATGAAGCTTTCTTAACTTCTTGTAGATAAAAAAAAAAAAATTATGGACTTTTGGGTGGTCTGTCTAGGACAGAGAGCTTGTCTTTTGGAAGTTCGAATAAACACCAATGCAGTGCGGCAGTGGTGAGGTATTTGTGTCACATGACTTGGCCTTTGTGCACTATTATAATTTATAAAAGAATTTATAAAACCTGCACTGCCAATTTTAGTAGCAATGGTCACAGAGTCTAATTATCTTGTGTTACTGTCAACATCTTTATTAAAATGATGATATTTGTGCCTTTGTAAGCAGTAGTTTAGTCTGTTATCAGTTGCTAGGCAGTTGGTGAGAAGCTATGCTTTGTTTTACCATCCTAGTCTATTATTTTGAATTATTGAACGTGTTTAACTTTGGATGAGACCCTGGTGACTTTTCTCATTGGAAGTTGGATGCTGACTTCAAACACTCATAGCATGTGGTCCGTCCATTGTTGTCTCAGGGCCTAGTCTGTAGTGCACACTGTTTATCAGTCACTGAAGGCATTTCTGCAGAAATGAAAAGTTGTCTACACAATCAATCAATCTCCTTAAAGCAGAATATCATCCCAAGAGTGCAGCGAAGGAGTTAGCAGATACTAAAATCCCACGTGCAACAAAGTCAAAGGCCTCCTTTTATTCAGCCTCCCTCTTCCCCAGTCCCATGATGGAGGGGAGGCTGTGCTCAGCCCAAGTCTGGGACAAATAACTCCAGGGGTCAGGGGGTGGAACTCAGAGGCCTGGTCTGCAGTGCGCCGTGGGCATGTGCACACTGCTGGCATTTATGGATGGCGGCATGGTCTGGGTTCATAGTCTGCACTGTAGCCCTGGAGAAAGCCAGCCTCCAGCACCACGGTGAGGCTGCTACAGCTCAGCCAGGGTTGGGAGAGACAGACACAGGGGAGAAGCCCTTGCGAGCTTGCGGCCCTCCGGCCTGCAGCCCAGAAAGCCTCAGCTTCAGCCTGTGGGTAACTGTGCCTCTGTGATTCCCTTCGGCAGCTGCTGACCACCGCGAAGACACGTCGTTTGACCTTTTCGGCGTCAGCAACATTAACCGGAAGACCATCGGCGCCAAGCAGTTCCGAGGGCCTGACCCCGGGGTGCCCGCTTACCGGTTTGTACGGTTTGACTACATCCCCCCAGTGAACACAGACGACTTTGGCAGGATTGTCAAGCTGGCGAGGAGAAAGGAGGGCTTCTTCCTCACGGCCCAGCTGAAGCAGGACCGTAATTCCCGGGGTACACTCTTGGTGCTGGAAGGCCCTGGCACCTCCCAGAGGCAGTTTGAGATTGTGTCCAATGGCCCAGGGGACACCTTGGACCTCAACTACTGGGTGGAAGGCACTCAACACACCAACTTCCTGGAGGATGTGGGCCTGGCCGACTCCCAGTGGAAGAATGTGACCGTGCAGGTGGCCAGTGAGACCTATAGCCTGTATGTGGGCTGCGACCTCGTTGACAGCGTCACCCTGGAAGAGCCGTTCTATGAGCAGCTGGAGGCAGACAGGAGCAGGATGTACGTGGCCAAAGGTGCATCTCGCGAGAGTCACTTCAGGGTGCGTATGCAGCCCGGCAGCCGCGGGACAGAGCTTTGCAGGGAGCTCATGGCACGGGGCAGCTCAGGGCAGCATTTGTGTGTGGGAAGGGTGTAACCCTTCCATAGGGAAACACACCACACATTCACACTCCTTGCACAAGCGCGCAGAAGCATGCATGCCATGACCACACACCCTCACACACACACACACACATTTGCACATGTGCGCACACAACAGACACATTTGCACTCGTAAACATAATACTGACATGTGGAGTCACCCCCCCCCCCAAGGGACACATAAGAAAATGTGTACACACATGTACACCATGCTTCTGTACACATGGCACCTATGCATGCACATATTCATAACAATCAACTCAGTATGCACAGAATACATTCTCCTGAGCTATGAGAAGCGGGTCTGTGTCAGGGTATCCTGCTCTTGGATACCTGAGTCAGGTGCTGAGAGTCCCAGAAACTCCAAATCACTTTACTAGGCCTGAAGCCACATCCCAGCCCTTACTCTGGGAATGAAGCAGTTGGGGCACTAAGGAGGGACTGAGTTTCTCAAACAAAAGCTGCTGCTTTGTGCGTGGATACCTCCCTGTCCCCTCGCTGTGGCTCAGGAAGTTTGGATCCTTCTAAAACTGGGAATTTAGAACCTGCAATGTTGGGTCTTGGATCTAACTTTATTAAATCTGGTGTACAGAGAGCTCTTGGATTAAAGGCGTATGCTAGGGCTGGGTGAACCACACCATAATCACCCGTTTACAATAAACAGAAAGGTGTTTCTGAGACTTGAATCACAAGCAACAACACGACGCAGCATTCCACTCCCATGTGAGGATATTCCCCAGATGTCTACCTGGTAATATACAGGGAGCAAAAGTTGCCCATCCCTAGGCCTTCTTCATTCTTCTCCAAGGTTAATCTTCTAGTTAGAAATATTTTTATTCTAAGCCTCTGCATGCATTTGTGTGTGTGTGTGTGTGTGTGTGTGTGTGTGTGTGTGTATGAGAGAGAGAGAGAGAGAGAGAGAGAGAGAGAGAGAGAGAGAGAGAAACTAGTAACATTTTCAAACTAACAGGAAAAGGGTAACTGATATAAAGAGACTTCAGACATGCTGGGTAAAGCAGAGGTGACCCAGGGCTATTGGAATCTTCTATTCTGCATTTATAAAAGTATCATCAGTTCCCATTGAGTTTTTATGCAGTCTGTTTCCTCTGTCTCCCTCCAGGGCTTGCTGCAGAATGTCCATCTCGTGTTTGCAGATTCTGTGGAAGATATTCTAAGCAAGAAAGGCTGTCAACACAGGCAGGCAGGTGCGTGAGCTTGGATCTAGGAGTTTCTGTTCTGTCCGGGTAGGTTGCTCCTGGGCCATGTGTGTGTATGCCCTGCTGGAGACTTGGGTCAAATGCTTTTATCCTCTGTGGGTGAGTTTGCTGGGCAGCTTAGACTTCCCAATCCTTGAAAACAATATCAATTCTGAATAGATTTTAAGATTAACAATCCCATTTGTGTGTATGGGGGGGGGGGTCTGAGGTCATAGTTCAGTCCATGATCAAGATCATTCATACCTTTCATGGCTTTCAAACACTTTCTAACATGTAGGTCAATAGGTTGTTTTAGGCTTAGAGTTACAAGTCAACAACACATAGAACTATTAAAAGCAAACACTTTAACGTTTCTGGAAGTTCTGAGCCATTCTTAAGACAGTGGACTTACACAGAAGTCTAAATCTGTTCTCTTAAGATGTGGAGTAAGAATGGACTAACTGCATCTATGTTCTTCCATCCATAAGTCAGGACCCACTGTGAGTTCTCCACTCAGAGCTGGGGCCTGCCAGAGACTCCCATTCTTCTTCATGGATCATGCCAGACTCAAAGATTCCAGTAAGCTCCTGAGGCTGGCCTCAGAGTATGGCTTCTTTGACGTTTCTCAAAATGAGAATCTCTCTGTTACACGGCTAAACCACTCAAATTTCATTTCAAATTTTCAAGCTGCAGAAACGGGTATAGATAGATACAGGAGATACAGACAGGCTCAAACATTTGTCTGTCCAACCCCATCCATGGTAGGGGCAGGGTGAACAAAGGCACAAATTAGTTCATTCTGTTTAGCTCTAAGACATGTAAAAGAAATATCTTAGATAAGCTAAAGATTTTAAAAACATAAATGATGAATGAAATTCTCTTGAACCCACTAATTAAGAGTGCCCCTGTCTGAGGCTATAAAAATACTGATACTATTAGCATGGCTTTTTGTGGTTAGTGGCACACTGTGGATTGTGACAAGAAGTTGAGCCCAAGTAATGAGCAATCACCTGTGGAGTGATGCTTGTCACCCCTGCCTTCCCTGCAGCTCCTCACTCTTTTCTGAGGGTGACTCTGTTTTTGGACTTGTCTCAAAGCACCTTGAGAATTAAGGGGTCTTCTGTGTGTGCACGGCGCAGATAGACTCCCTGTGATTGCACCAGGACCATGAGTGTCTACCTTTGCTTTGAGGAGCCCTTGGGCATCAGAGCATGATGTGTGGAGAGCAGAGTGTTGCCTGGAGGTGTCATGTTTCTGGTGTGAAGATACCTGAGTTCACTTTTATTCAGAAAGGAAGCCCTAAGAGTTGGCCCTCAGGTTGAAATGGGGCATAGGAAAAGTGAAGGGAGGAATGAGTACATGGACTTGAGATGTGTGATGTATAGCCCTGCCTTTCTCCGTTCCCAGTCTGGATCTCTGCCCTGCCAAGGGATGGTATAGGCATATGATATAGGACAGGTTTCTTTTGTCAAGCCCAGGTCTTTCCTAGAAGCAATTGCTACCAAATGCTCTTGAGTTTATAGATACAATTTAGCATGTGGCCACTCCAAGTAAGCACAGATTTTTATGGGTTCCAGTTTATAGCTATGGGGGTGACCCCCCAGGATCACCCTCGGGATTGCATCTGTTTGTCTCTTTTGTGGTTTGAATAGAGGAGGGCGAGGCTCAAGTTCCTATTGACTGTGTCAGTGGGTGCCAGCTCACAGTTGCAGCTCTGGTACCACAGAGCCTGTGCTCTGCTGACCGTGCTTTCTTCCCTTTAGCTGAAGTCAACACCATCAGTGAGCACACAGAGACCCTGCACCTGAGCCCTCACGTCACCACAGATATGGTGGGCCAGGGTGTAGAGAAGACCCAGGAAGTGTGCACACACTCCTGCGAGGAGCTGAGCAACATGATGAACGAGCTATCTGGACTGCATGTCATGGTGAACCAGCTGAGCAAGAACCTGGAGAAAGTGGTGGGTGCCTGGTGGAGGGTGAGGTGGTGAGCAAGGGTAGTGGAAACAGACAACAGTCTGTCAGGGAAGCCTCAGTGGCCAGTCTTCCTTGGAGCCTTTCGAGACAGCTGGTCAGGGCTCTGGGAACTAATGCTTCCCTAGTTTGGAAAAACTCTGGTTAGAAAGACACATGATGCAGATGTCCAGGTCAGGCCCTTTGGGAACACTGTTACTAGTGAAAAGAAAGACAGAGAGATGCAAGAAGTGTTGCAGATAAAGACACAGTCCGGGGACAGAAGTGCTCCAAAACAGATCTGCAGTTCTGGGAAGTGCAGCTCCCGGAGAGTAAAAGGCATCCATGCAGAGGAAGCCATGTTGTGTGAAGGGCTATATTAAGAGGAGCAGCCCAGGCTTGAGAAATGCCTCTGCCTCACGATTTTGTAAGGCTGACAGACTTGAATGTGTGGCCCAAAGTGCGTGGAAGTAGGGCGAGTGTTCTGCGGCTTTGAAGAGGGAGATGAGAGTTGTACTCTCTTCTGGCTGTGCTGCCCTGTGGTGCCTGTGAAATCATGAGAAGCGGTAGTGGGACAGGGAGAGCGCCACTCAGACACTTCCTGAAAGGCTCCTTTGATTGCTGAGGGAGAAAGGCCCACCCCGAGGCCTGTGCAGAGTGCTCTGTGAGGCTGTCTTTTGGGCACAGTTCTCTTCCACTCTAGTTTGCCTCCCCAGGTGGCATCATGTAATTCTTTGCTTGGTGCCTGGTGATGCTCCTGGCCCTTGCCGGATGACCTGGCAACAGAGCTCAGAAGAGATAGGGGTTGATCACAGGGCCGGGCAACTTCTCTGAAGCTGCAATGTATTCCAGTCTCAGTCCCTGAACATGAGGTCAAGGACCAAGGGATGTGTGAAACCCTGAAGCTGCACAAGGCCTCAGGGATGGCGTGTTTCTGTGTGTATTTGTAGTAGAAGATTCGTGACATTCATCTGATCCCTAAAACCTATCCTCCCCCCGCCCCTCACCTAGTCCACCTTGGGGGAAACCTACGGAGTGCTGAGACGGCCAAGGCAGATGTTTAGTAGCAGTTATGGGAGTTTAATCTGAGTTTTAGATTTTACCTCCTTTTCCTGGCATAATGTTCGGATGGCCAGGATAATGGCTGTCTTCTTCCAGGCTAGTGCTCATCACATGAGGCCCATCATGTCCTGCCTGCTGAAAAAAGGAAGCGTGGGTGAATTCACGAATTGGCCCTTCTCCCCTGACCTCTGCGCACTGTGCACAGTGGTGGCTTTGCTTTCATCTATGAGCCATGTTCAGCCCAGGGGTTGAGATGGTAGCTAGCGCTTACGGTTGTCCGTGCATTGGATTTAGCTGTGAGATGAGAAGATGGACGGAGGCAATGGAGACAGACAGTGCGTATAGTTGAGCTCTGTGACGCAGTCTTTGTTGCAAAGTTCATGTGGGTTTGAGGCACCATCTGTCCGCACGCAGGGTTACACCCACACCCGGTGGTTTCGCTGCTTGACCTAAGCTCCTCCGTGAAGGAGGACCATGGAATTCTTATCCTAACCCTCACCTCTGTTTCCAGTCCAGTGATAACCAGTTCCTTTTGGAGCTCATTGGGGGCCCTCTGAAGACGAGAAACATGTCGGCCTGTGTGCAGGAGGGCCGGATCTTTGCAGAAAATGAAACCTGGGTTGTAGACAGCTGTACCACGTGCACCTGCAAGGTGAGTTCCAGAGACAAGTAAGTCCTCCCGCAGGAAGATGTGCCGCCCACAGGGCGGACACGCTCACATTGCCATATGCATATCCTAGGCTGTGGCTATGGCTATGGCTTGTTCAGCACATATGTACAAAAGATATTCAGATACATGTAGGGCTCAGCATGAGAGCCTCAGACATAGAAGTGAACATAAATGTAACTTAAATTGACCTCTTTGTGCTGTGCAAAAAGAAACGACAACATGGAGGGTGGGGCCTGTCTAGCATTGTCCAACATCATGGAGAGAGACAGTGGGAATGGAGCTACCTCAGGGCTCCCATAGTTTGCATTTGCTCCCATCTGTCTCTGACAGGGCCACCGTGCTCGGCAGAGACATCAGGAAAGCCTGGCGATCATCAAGAAAACGTAGATGGTTTAGTTTCTTTACATTGTTCCCTGTCTGTGTGTTGACCTCAGATATTGGGTGACCTGGAAATGTTCTGTCATTTCCTTGCTCATGGTGGGAGGACAGAGCATCGAAGCCATTGGGTCTGCTCCAACCCAGTATTTGAAGTAGAAATTGTGGATGGAAAAATAACCTAGCCATTATACTGACCCTTTCCCATCCAGCTCCCGTGACAGTGTCCTACAGTCAATGACTGTTTTCCACGTGTTTGTTTTCTATACTTTCAGAAATTTAAAACAGTGTGCCATCAGATCACCTGCTCTCCTGCGACTTGTGCCAACCCGTCTTTTGTGGAGGGCGAGTGCTGTCCATCCTGTTCCCACTGTAAGTTGCCTGTAGTGAACATGTTGTGAGTCCTTGGGATTGCATCTGTTTGTCTGTTTTGTGGTTTGAATAGAGGAGGGCGAGGCTCAAGTTCCTGTAGACAGGCAGTGGAGGGGAGCAGAGGTGGGTAAGGCCCACATCAGCCACCAGCGAGTGGCCGGGAAGCCATTGAGAGCTCTAGAAATTAAGTGCCTGCAGCTGTTCTGGCTCATGGCAGACAAGGAGGCCCCCAGTGACCCAGAAGGGACTAAAGTTCCAACTCCCAGGCCAAGAACAAGGCCCCTGTGTCAGTAGCCACTGTGAGTCAGGAGCTGCCACTAGACCTGGGCTGAGTGAAGACTGGACAGTTGCTGTGTAACCCATGATACAGTAAATAAACACAAAATCCAGAGACTGTTACTCAACGATGCATTCAAGTAACAGAGACATGGTCCAAGTGACCCAGACTGAAACTATGGCGGGGCCAGTTGTGTGAGGTCCGGCACTGTGGAGACAGAGCTGGACTAACATTAAGGAGTCCCAGAGGTGCTCTAGAGCTCCCTGCCTCCCTCAGAATTCCCCAGCAGTCTGTGGATAACCATGCCAATGGTCTGGATCTGGCCTCCAGCCGATGCTCAGTTACAGCCTTTCCCGCATGGGTGGGCAAGGCCTTCCCACCCACTTGTCACCCCTCAGTGTCTGCGTGCCTCTGCTCTGGTTTTATTCTGGTCTTTTCTTTTGGTGTTTGTCCAGAATCTCAGCTCCTACATTGGCGAGGGCAAGGGTACAATAGACAGCTTGAGTATGACAGCCTAGGTGCTCTGGCTGCCTGTGCTCAGTGTTGTCTCTTGCAGCTGCTCTTCTTTCTTTCCTTCATTATCCAAAGGGACCCCTACTGGAAGTCCCCTATTAAAGAGCACCTACTAAGAGACCTACTGTGTGCTTAGCCTAGGCCCCAGCACTGGTATATTATACCCTGTGTGTCTATGAAAAATTTATTCTAGAAGAATTGCCTTTTAATTGAATCTTCCTTAGTTTAAAGTGTTTGGAAATAAACTAGGCAACCTGTAATTTTAACAAATGGTTGACATTTTATCTTATATGAGTCACCAGAAGCTATGTAGAAATGTCCTCTTGGTGACTTTGAAAATGCCTCCTGTAGACAAGACTCAGCATCCTCTTTTGGAGCCATCTCCTCTACTCTGTGGACCAGCTTCCCTGAACACATCTAGATAATTCACTTTAGTACCACTCAGTGTTCTCTTCCCCGTGCTTTGCTCTTCCCTGTGTTTTGTTCTTCCCATCGAAGGCACCCAAGCCCTTGCCCAGGCGGTAGGCCTCCGCCCATAGAAGTCTTCCTGCTAAGAAGTCTCCAAAGCAGGCCCCACATGGTCATAGGGCCTGACCTACCTGAGGCCTGTGGAGAGGGAGGGCACAACCTCATGTATATCTGTACCTTCTTGGCTAGCTACAGACAATGATGAGGGCTGGTCTCCGTGGGCAGAGTGGACCGAGTGTTCTGTCACCTGTGGCTCTGGGACCCAGCAGAGAGGCCGCTCTTGTGACGTCACCAGCAACACCTGCCTGGGCCCCTCCATCCAGACAAGGACCTGCAGCCTGGGCAAATGCGATACGAGAAGTGAGTGGTCCAGGGCAGGTTGAACGGTGTCCTGCGTGGGTATGCCAGCAGCAGCTATTTGCTGGTGTCTGGAGGCTGCGGCCTCAGGGGAGGTTTTGCCAAGTGAGAAGCTTTCTCTTGCATGAGGGTCATGTTCTCTTGCTTGCCCTCCCCAGTGGAAACAGGGATTAGCTGGGAAGGCAGATCTTGGGGTTAGGGATTGCCCAGCCCGGGGTCACAGCCTGAGACATTGATCTCTTCTTGCTTCCTCTTATAGTCCGGCAGAATGGTGGCTGGAGTCACTGGTCACCCTGGTCTTCATGCTCCGTGACTTGTGGAGTTGGCAATGTCACCCGCATACGTCTTTGCAACTCACCAGTGCCCCAGATGGGTGGCAAGAACTGCAAGGGCAGTGGCCGCGAGACCAAGGCCTGCGAGCGTGCACCGTGCCCAAGTGAGTAGGTGATTCTGGGGGTGGTGAGGGGGTGCCATCTGCTGGTAACTAAGCCCTGCCCCAACCTAATCTGGTCACTAAATCAAAAGCCAACATGGCTCCAGCAGTGAGAGTGTGGCTGTTCTGTTGCTCTGACATCCGTGCCTGTCACTGGTTCCATACCTTGACTTCCCGAAGTCCTCTGTACCTTTCACGGATCAGTCAGGCAGACAGAGATAATCACCTACAGGAAAATAAGCCAGAATGTGAATTTGGACCTAAAGCAGGAAATGAACAGAGCGAGTCTCAGGATAGGGCTCAGGAGACAGTTTAGCATACCGGGCTCTCCCCAGCGAGGCTGGGCTCTCATGGAGCACTGGATGCAGGAGGATTGCTTCCACAACATGTTACAAACCACGTCTTCATTCCCCACCTGTCCAATGCAATAAGAATCAATCCCACAAAGTGTTTGAGATTAGAGGCCCGTCTGTGCTGGAGGCCTGGCTAAGTATGGAAATTCGGGGCTTCTGGCTAGAAAGGATTGTAGGTATTTTCTTTCAGAGGCAAAGCCATCTATCAGCATCTCTGTAACCAATATCACTCCCTGAATCACGACTGGAAATTCACAGCAGGCCAGTTCCTTCCTTCTCACTTACACACCAGCTCCTTCAACTTCCCTGGAATAGCCAAGATATCTCCTTCATCTTCCTGCTGCTCGTGCCAATGCCCGCCATACAGCCAGCCCTCTTCTCAGTCAGCTTCCCTGGTTCTCGCTACAGTCGATGGCCGTTGGAGCCCCTGGTCCCCTTGGTCGGCCTGCACTGTTACCTGTGCCGGAGGGATCCGTGAGCGCACACGGGTTTGCAACAGCCCTGAGCCCCAGTATGGAGGGAAGGACTGTGTGGGGGATGTGAAGGAACATCAAATGTGCAACAAGAAGAGCTGCCCTATTGGTGAGTAATGGGCCGTGTCTGCTTGTGTGTGTGTGTGAAAGGAGCTGCCCCACCGGGAGGTCACAGGGCATGCACACTTGAATATGTGTATGCCCACATGTGCACATATATGTGGCGTGTGTTCTTAACCCTGTCCCACATTCTCTATGTAGATGGGTGCTTATCCAACCCATGTTTTCCTGGAGCCAAGTGCAACAGCTTCCCTGATGGCTCCTGGTCCTGTGGCTCCTGCCCAGAGGGCTTCTTGGGCAATGGTACCTACTGTGAGGACCTGGATGAGGTTGGTACCTCCGCCTTGGGCAGCAGGGTATCCTGTGGAGATCTGGAGAGAGGCTAACTTCCGTTTGTCTTCACAGTGTGCCGTGGTCTCAGACATCTGCTTCTCAACTAACAAAGCTTCCCGCTGCGTCAACACCAACCCCGGCTTCCACTGCCTGCCTTGTCCCCCACGCTACAAGGGGAGCCAGCCCTTTGGGGTTGGCCTGGAGGCTGCTAGAACGGAAAAACAAGTAAGTGGTGCTGGCCTTACCTGTGTTCCTAAAGTCTAGGCAAGTGGAGGTGGGGTGGAAGGGAAAGGGCAGCATTGTTGGGAGAGGGGACCTCTTGGGCTCTGTTCATCTGGGGCCTCTCCTGCTGACACAGAGGAATCCAGATGTTTTCATGCAGAGAGCCTATGAACTTCAGAGTAGCAATTATGCCTTGGTCCATACTGGGATGCTCTAGTAGAATGCCAGAGGCAGGGTAGGGATATTATGTCTCACAGTTTTGGAGGCTGGAAATCCAAGACTGAGGACCAGGCATCTAGTTCATGCGTTCTCAAGGGTGCCAGCGGCCCATCATCTTCCCCAGTAGTCCTGTCTGTAGTTCATATTGCTCTCGCTCTTACAGGTGTGTGAGCCAGAGAACCCCTGCAAGGACAAGACTCACAACTGCCACAAGCATGCCGAGTGCATCTACCTGGGCCACTTCAGTGACCCCATGTACAAGTGTGAGTGCCAGACGGGCTACGCCGGGGATGGGCTCATCTGCGGGGAGGACTCAGACCTGGACGGCTGGCCCAACAGCAACCTGGTGTGTGCTACCAACGCCACCTATCACTGCATCAAGGTGAGGGTCGCACGCTCTCAGGCTGAGAGCCAGGGTTCTGTGCTTCAGTCGTTATCAGAGGTCCTTGGCCAGCCTAGGGGGCTGCGCCTCCGCCTTGTCATCAGCATAGGGTTCTGCCGGTCGATCCTGCTTCATCGGTGAACAGGCCTGTCCTCTCCAGGCAGGGTAAGGGTTTGCTCTACCACCCTAGTTCCTCTTCAGTGACTCACTGCCAGGAGAGACGGGCCAATTTGGAAGCAATGATCTGGATAGCGAAAAACCTCCAAATTGTCTCATTCCGGCCTACGCTCTGCGTAGGCGTCAAGATTGGACTGTGGCACTGAACTCAGGTGGCCTCTCGCTTCACTTTATTCCCCTTCCAGGGACTGTTGTGGAAAGCAGCACATGCCCCGTGGTGCTTGCTGCTGGGCCCTGAGCCCGACAGCAGTGAGGTGCCCAGCCTGACTCCGTGGCTGGCCACAGGGTGTAGGAGACCGAAGGGCCCCAGACAAGCTTTCCTGCTTGGGATCACTCAGCAAGATCCCAGCAAATGTTTTTTCTTTTCTTTACAAAGACGCATGTGTGTAGCAGGGTGTAGTCGTGTTTGGGGAACGGACATTTGATACGCTACAGAAGAGGCTAATACAGGTTTGAGCCGCTGTAGCCTCGCAAGTGGAAGCGCCACAGGGTTTCCCACCAATGACGTCACTTTAAAAACATAATTACATGTGTATTAACTCATTTTAAGTTAAAAGTGATGAAGTTTTAGTGCAGGAATTTCTTTTGTCAGACAGAGCCTCTTAAGTGGAGATGGCAGGTATTGGCTAAACACTCAGGGCTTTCACAGAAACAAGGAAGCAGCACACACACACACACACACACACACACACAACACACACACACACACACAGGCATCAAGGTGGTTGAAACCAAAACTGCACTTCCGTGCCCTGCTCTTCTTTGGTTCCTCAGCCGGTGCCTTGTGGCTCAGGTTTGGGTCACCGTACAGTGGACGGAGCGGAGCAGCTCTCCCGCTGTCACACATATCCAATGTGGAGAGCTGGCGTGGAGCTAGCCCTGCCTCCTAAGCGTCTTCGTTTGAGCGCAGGAACTGCAAAGCCTACGCCGTTGGATGCTGCTCTCCAGTGAGGGCTGAGCTTGCGGGCATGCTGCAGCTCTTGGTTCATTGAGTGAGGCTGTGGGAAAACCAGGACGCTGCCATTCCACATCTCTGCTGGTACAAGCAGCCCTCACCCTCCTCTGTTCTTCCAGGTGTCTGGTCCGTTCCTGAGGCCTCTGGGCTCAGAACAGGGCTCCTTTTGTCTCTACTCATGTGCAGCACTGACATAATTCCCAGGGAAGGACTTAGAACGGCATAGGTCCAGGCCAGCTGGCTCTGACCCTCGTTCTTCTGCTTCTATCTGAGGGCTTGTATCAGATATTTATATCTTTGGCTTCCTAAGTCTTGTTTTATTTTTCCCTGTGTTGGAAAGCAGGACGCTTTGGAACGCTTTCATGCTTATTATTCCTCCCCAACTCACAGGACAACTGTCCCAAACTGCCCAATTCCGGGCAGGAGGATTTCGATAAGGATGGGATTGGAGACGCCTGCGATGAGGACGATGACAATGACGGTGTGAACGATGAGAAGGTAGGATGGCGCCGCCCTCAGGCACTGAGAGGTCGGAAGAGGGGACTCTCAACTGCTCTTCTGACACGTTTGTGAACACCTGAAGCCACCAATAGAGAAAGTTGTCACTGCAAATGCTTATTAGCTGGGGTACAATGCAGGAACTCCTCAGTAACGTCACTTTCTTTAATTGTACTTAAAACAAAACCTTCTCAGCTTCCTTTTCTTCTGGTGAGCTGTTTCAGAGGCAAGACAAGGGTGCTGCAAAAGAAGGTTTAGAGTGGGGCTCACATAGCTCCCCGAGGATGGGTTCTCTATGGTGAGGTTCAGTCTTCTCCTCCATCTGCTTTCACATTCTTTTTCACTCACCCATCCATCCACTCACCGACTCTCTAATCCCTGTGAGGTAGAGGAGACTGCTGCTTTGCAATGGGAAATGCCCACATTCGTAGGATAGGACAGCTGTGTACATCACTGTGAAACCACTGTGAAGCAGTGCCTGTGGAGACTTGACTGGCTCATTTTCTTTGTCGGTTGTCTACTCATAAGCACTGAACTTGTCTACTCATAAGCTCTGATGTATGGTCTGTGTTCTTTCTGATGTCCTTTTCTGGTGTTTTTTAGGACAACTGCCAGCTTCTCTTCAATCCCCGTCAATTAGACTATGACAAGGATGAGGTTGGAGACCGCTGTGACAATTGCCCCTATGTGCACAACCAGGCGCAGATTGACACAGACAACAATGGCGAGGGCGATGCCTGCTCTGTGGACATCGATGGAGACGGTCAGCAGCTCAGCTCACTTTAGTGACACAGATCAGGGTGCATGGTTATGAGTGAGTCAGTACGTGGCATGCTGAGGTTCAGAGCCACAAACCAACCAGCCATAGGAAAGGAGATTGCATTCACTGAGCATGCACAGACTTTTAAATTTTAAGTTATTTATGTGTGTGTACGCGAAAGAGAGAGAAAGAGGATGTGTGTGAGGATGTGTGAGTGTGTGGGTGTGTGGAAGGAGGTGCTACCCGCTGTGTGTGGAGGTCAGAAAACAGCTTTCAGGAGTTGGTCCTCTCCTTCTGCCTTCTTGAAGCAGGATCTTGGTGGTTTCTGCTGCCTGTGTGCTCCAGAGGAGCTGTTCTGAGAACACCCAGCTGATTCTCCTGTGTCTTCCACTCAGACTGCCATTACAGATGCTCGCCACTGCATCTGGTTTTTGTTTGTTTGGTTTTAATGTGGATTCTGAGGATCCAACTTGGGTCATCATGTTTGTGTTATAAGCACTTTTACCCACAGAACCATCTTACTGACCCCGAGACCTTTACCATGCCGTTAATCTAAACAACAAAATTATAATATAGAGATGATTTTCCAGTATGTAGGTTGTTTGTAAATATCACTCCCTTTTGTGTAATGGATTCACACATCTGGATTTGGGTATTTCTGTGGCTCCTGGTAGCTACCTTCCATGTACACCAGGGCCAACTGCAATTTTGAACATTTTAGAGGAGCCCAATTTATCTATATACTTATGAAACTGATTCCTTAAATAGCTTGCCTTTTCCCACAAGCCTCAGGTTCATTTTTAGAAAACCACAGTGTTCTGTATTTTCTTCCTTTGATGCCAATCCCACAGCTGCAGTGAACCCTCCATCTAAAACATTTGAGAACTGGGGCCCTCGCCTTGTCCATCTGCTCCCAGAAGGCATTGAGGGGAGCTGTATGTCTCTCTCCATTCTGGCTTCTCCTTGTTTATTAATAAGGCCTAACCACAGGGCTTGGGTTCCCAGACAGATGGAGTGATTCACTGGTACCCTGTGAGCTCTGATAGTACTGCAAGTTGGCATTTGATCCTGAGACTGGTGGCCTCCCTGAAAGAGCCCAGAGACCTGCCACACCACCCTTGGAACTCAGTCACTCCTTCCTGGGGGTGTCACAGTAGGGCCTCTGTGTACCCCGTGAGTCTCACACTCCTCCTCATCCCTTCCCAGCCTGAATTTCCTTCATCCCCTCTGACTCCCTCTACCCATCTCTAAGTACATGTTCCTGTAGAACTTCCCAGCCAGCTTCTACATCCAGCGTTATCCTCAGGACAGCCTGGAGCACTCTGCCTTCTCAGAGCTTGATGCACTCAGCAGGCACCTCATGTCCATCCTAATGTAGGCTGGTGCGTCTGTTGCGCTGAGTGGGGTCTCAGGTTCCTGTGCCCCCTCTCTCTAGATATATTTATATATTTAATTATTATCTCTCCAGAACTGGTAGACTTTCTTACCTATTTTCAGACTTCTAAAACCCTTGCCCATCTAACTTTACATATTTGTATAATGGATGGGTCAGCATCATCCCGAGCTTACCATGTTCCTATGACTTAACACATGCTTTCTGAGATCCCAGTGGTAACACCCAAAGCAGCATGCTCATAGACATGTTACACTCATCCTCTCCTACCTGGGCATCACTGCCCAGAGAATCCCAGACACTTGTTGTATTTTAAGTTAAGGGAACTGGATTTTTTTTTTTTTTTTTGAGACAGGGTTTCACTAGGAATGGAAAATATATCATGGATTCTTCCATGAATCTAATAATCTTTACGTTTTTGACCTCTCCTTAGTGAAATCTTGTCTGTATCTTATCCAGTATGATGGGGAAATGATGTACTTTCTTTTAACTCAGTGTATTACCACTTTGTTTCACCAACAGATGTTTTCAATGAGCGAGACAACTGTCCCTATGTCTACAACACTGACCAGAGAGACACAGATGGGGATGGCGTGGGCGACCACTGTGACAACTGTCCTCTGATGCACAACCCCGATCAGGTGATTGGATGTCTCCACACAGGGGTCCGTGGTCCCCAGCTGCTGCCTAGAGAGGAGCCTTTGAGAGCGACCAACATCTCAGGTCACCCTCATCTCTTCTCAGGGCGTTCCTCCTCCTCAAACGGCCTCAAAAAGATGCTCCTGTGTGGTTCTCATTGGCTCTGCCAAGCATGACAGCATAGTTTTCTATAATCTCAGCTGGAACCTCTTAGAGAGCCCAAATCTAAGCACATTATATCTAGGTGGCCACAGGCCAAGGAAGGAAGTGGCTTCCCCTCACTGTCTGGGGGGAAGTTGGTCTCCATGGTTACCCTGAGGCAAACCCAGAACTAGCTACATTTCCAGGCCTGCCCTTGGAAGGGACGAGAAGAATATGAACTAGAAATACTATCTGCTGAGTATATAGTAACAAATGGTGGGTATAGTGATTGCTGAGTGGTAGTTAACTACAGTAAGTTCCCTCTAGGATGGGGCACAGGATAAGAGATTCTGAACCCAGGCGTCTGGATCCCAGGCTCTTTTCTGTGTAGACAGCAAGTGTTATAGCATAGGGCATTTTTGCACCTTGGCTCCAGTACTGGCCTGTAACACAAGGGGAGCAGGTCTCTAGTCTAATACCTGAGTCTTCATGTGCTTCCTCAGGGAGTATTCATGGCGTTCACTTCCCACTCTTTCCCCCAGACGGATCAGGACAATGATCTTGTCGGAGATCAGTGTGACAACAATGAAGACATAGATGATGATGGCCACCAGAACAACCAAGACAACTGCCCATACATCTCCAACTCCAACCAGGCTGACCATGACAACGATGGCAAGGGCGATGCCTGTGACTCTGATGATGACAATGATGGTGTCCCAGATGACAGGGACAACTGCCGCCTTGTATTCAACCCAGACCAGGAAGACTCAGACGGTGGGTGCCTTCCTCGGTACATGCGTGTGGTGCAAAGCACATGCATAGTCCCGCAGAGCCAGAACTTCTCTGGTAATAGAGCTACTTTAAAATTGGAGTTAGCAGGATGGTTATCTTAGGGTGCAGGGCACAGGGGTGGCTGGTCTTCTGTCTAGCCTGCTTGGCAGTTTCAGCTGCTTCTTGTGTGTTTAACGTTCTACCAGTCATAGGGGTGAAGTCTCTTTGTGCCAGGATGAGGAAACCTCTCAGCACCTGTGTACTTTTGAAACTCTTTGGCAATCACTTAGATAGAAAAATGTTTTCGCAGAACGCAGCCAGTGACATGGGGGGGGGGTGTTTATTGTTTTATATCTAATACCTAAGATAGGGAAAGTGTAAAATGGAAGGCCTTATGTAAACCAGGGGTCTGTAGCTGTGCAGGCTCTGGAGGAAGTCACACCCCAGGCAGGACTGCAGTCCCACATAACAAAGCGTGCAGCTGTGCTTGGTAATGGGCTGGTCCTTATTCCCTCCCAGTGCAGGATGATCCAAGCTCTCTTTGGAAGACACTTATCCTGAACAAATGGAGACCAGGAGTCCTGGGGTGTCCAGCCAGTATGACTCAGAAGCACGTGAAAAGGCTGGCCAAGGCCCAAGGGCAGCTCCAGGATCCTCCCTGCACAGGGAAGAGGCCTTTCAGCAGAAAGCTCCCAGCTTGATGCAGGCAGCGGGAGGTGGGGTTTGGCTCACCTAGGAAGGGGGCTGGAAGGAGAAGCTAGGAGTATTTTTATTACTTTTAAGATGCTGTTACTGAGGCTGGGGAATAGTTTAATTGGTAGGGTACTGGCCTAGCATGATACTCAGTACTACACAGACAAGGCCATAGTGGTACCCCACCTATAACTCAGGAGGCAGAAACAGGAGAAAGCCAAGTCATCCTTGGCTCCATAAAAGCTGGCCTGAGGTGGGCCTGTGCTATGATACCCTGTCTCAAGGAGTAAAATACACATACCCCTAATTATATGTTTCACACAGTAGGGGAGCCTGTGATATTGGATACAGAACGGGATACTAGTTTGAAGAATTGGGGAATCAAGATACCAATCTAGATACCAAATATGGTTTCTTTTCTTCTTTTAGAAATAAGGGCAAAATGCCTATTGCCTCTGCCTTCGGGCATCTTGCCATGGCCAAGGACAGGGCAGCTGTAAGATCACAGGCATGACCTATCCCTCTTTGCAGACCAACCCCACTGGGTCCGCTCTCCCTAGGGAAAGTCATGTGTGCTGGAAAGGTTCTACTTCAAATACCAAGTAAATTAAAATGGCTCCAGTTACAAAGAGCAACAATGAGAAATGAGCTTAAAGAGACATTGGCAGCAGCCAACTTTCTGTTTTCAACTCTGAGTGTGGGGAGCTGAGAAAGCAGAGAAAGAAAGCCTTCTTATGAAGGCTTTACCACGCCATGTTATCCTTGGCTGCCATGTTTGCAGTGTCCCTGGAATTCCTTATAGCTCTACAAGCTCAAAGTTCTGGAGGCAGTTAACCTGCAATCTACAATTAACTGCAAGTTGTGTAGCCTCAGACCTTAGGGGCCCAGAGATCTCTGCTCATATTCATGGAGACAAATACAACTAACCTACCTTGTGTGCCTGAGTTTTTATCTTCCTTATTCACAGGCGATGGCCGGGGTGATATTTGTAAAGATGACTTTGACAATGACAGCGTCCCAGACATTGATGACGTATGCCCTGAGAACAACGCCATCACTGAGACAGACTTCAGGAACTTCCAGATGGTCCCTCTGGATCCCAAGGGAACCACACAAATTGATCCCAACTGGGTAATTCGTCACCAGGGCAAAGAGCTGGTGCAGACAGCAAACTCGGACCCTGGCATTGCTGTAGGTAAGACCGTGAGTGAGGTGGTATGGCTGAGTGGCCAAGTAAGGCCATGTGGACAGGATTCAGGATACATTTTCTGTTAGCCTTACACTTTCTTGATGCTTGGAACAGTCTCCCTTCATAATCTGGTTAGGGGCTCTTGGAAAGCACAGGTTCGCCTTTCTGGTCTATTGAATTTGCTATCCAGTTAAAGCAGTTCATACTATGGACTCTCTGAAATGATATATGACACAGTGCAGCCTCTGCCACAAAATGGTCAATCGGTCCCAAGTCCTGTAACTTTTGGCAATCTGTGAAGAACATGGGGTATTTAAGCTAATCTAAGCTCTTTAGACCCATGTTTCTGTGACATGGGTCCCTGAGGGGCTCCTGAGCTGCCTTTCCCTGGGCTTCCAGACCATCTATGTTTCCTCTGCACCCAGGTTTTGATGAGTTTGGGTCTGTGGACTTCAGTGGCACCTTCTATGTCAACACTGACCGGGATGATGACTATGCTGGCTTCGTCTTTGGCTATCAGTCCAGCAGCCGCTTCTATGTGGTGATGTGGAAGCAGGTCACCCAGACCTACTGGGAAGACAAGCCCAGCCGGGCTTATGGTTACTCTGGTGTATCACTGAAAGTGGTAAACTCCACCACTGGTACTGGCGAGCACCTGAGGAATGCCCTGTGGCACACGGGAAACACAGCAGGCCAGGTGAGGGCCTGGGCAGTTGATGACCTCTTCCAGACAGACCCCCAAACTCCTGGCCCATTCTGGAGAGAAACACCCTTCTGTTCTCATTAATTTTTAATCAAGTAGTAATCACTTTAAGAGTTGGTGTTGAATACCCACTCTATTAAACACAGCATGCCTGGTGCTTTTGACATGGTTAGCAGGATTGAACACATGGCCAATGTCGTGCAGAGACAGGACTTGACAGTGTGAGTCCTGTCTATAGTTCCACCTCCAAGAGGCAGATGATATGAATTCAGATCATGACTGTCTGGGCCAAGTGGTCTCAGGCTCTTAGTGCTAACTGTAACATTCTCTGGGGTGGATTTAGGTGCACATTGTAGCATCCCGCAGGTGTATGTAGCAGGGTAGATGATACACGGTGTTTGAAAAATACAGCATGCAAAACAAAAGGTACCAAAGAGATAGTACACCAAGTGGGATGTTGCTTTGCATGGTCCAGGAGGAGAAGGATGGTAGAGAAGCAGGCATCTTACCCGTCAACAATGTTGCTCTTCCACAGGTGCGCACTCTATGGCATGATCCCAAAAACATCGGCTGGAAAGATTACACTGCCTACAGGTGGCACCTGATCCACAGGCCAAAGACAGGCTACATAAGGTGAGGGCAGCTGTTCATGTCTGTCCAGTGATAGGCCTTTCGGGACCCTCTTTTCACTAGATGGGCTAATCTTCTCTTCCATTAAATAACCACTCTGCCTTTCCATTGGGTGGCCAATGGAAAGGCCGGATGGCTTTTTCACTGCATGGACGCTCTTCTTTCTCTGTCTGCCTTCCCATTGGATAAGTATGCCATAATGAACTCTTACAGTCTTCTCTGGATTCCTTAGTTTTAAATGCCTTTGGTCATCTATCTTGCATCCTTACTCTACATTACTTACTTTAAAACCTTGAAAAGTAAACTGTGTCTTAGGATGCTTGTCGGGTAGCAGACAAAGAACTCCACAACTATCTGGGTAGAATTCAGGATTTCGTGCATGATAAGGAGAAGCTGTCCCTCCGAGTCACACCCAGCTGCCTGGTGTTTGTGGATCCTTGGTGGTTTCAGTGAGTGAGGTGTAGGCTGGTGTTTGGGATGTGAGAGCTCTGCAAAGATGTCCCATCTGTCATGTGTTGCATCTGAGAATTCCATGGCATCACTTCCCACCCTGGGCCAGGAAGATAGAGTTCTGTCTCCACCCTCAGGCAGCTTTTACAATGGGACAGAGATGAGACTCAGGATCCTCATGGAAAATGAAAGCTATGGGAGCCATATTCAGAGAAAGACCAGGCTCCAAGGAAGAGAAACAGGCACCCACTCCCCAAAGCAATCAGGAAACACCATTCACTTTTCACACTGCTTTGGCTCTTAAAAGCAACCTACTAAAAATCTGGGTGACTGTAGTCACACACACCAAGGGTCTGTCAGCTTTGCCTGTGAGAAGGAATGGTCTCTTTAGATTTGGTTGTATGACAGAACAGTGTTGCTAAAGGGAAGGCAAATCCTAGTCCTGCCTCTTTGCTGGAACCTGGAGCAGAGGGTGGGGCCACAGATCCCTCTGGACTGGGCTGGGTGTAGCTCAGTGGTAGAGCACAGAACACTTGGTCAGCAAATGCAAGGTCATGCTTTCACCCTCAGCACCAAACAGGCAGAGTGGATTCCTCTTGGTCAACAGCTGGCATCCAGAGCCAACCACTGGCCTCAGGTAAATGTGCTGCTGAGTTCAAGTTCTCTTTCATCCTTTACTTCCTTTCCCCTTTTCAGAGTCTTAGTGCACGAAGGAAAGCAGGTCATGGCTGACTCAGGACCAATCTATGACCAGACCTATGCTGGTGGACGACTAGGTCTGTTTGTGTTCTCCCAAGAAATGGTGTACTTCTCAGATCTCAAGTATGAATGCAGAGGTGAGTACATGCTCACATCAGGGAATGTTCTCACAGAACCAAGACAGGCTGGCATCCACTTTTCTGTCTTCAGAGCCTTCATTTCAGGGAAATGAACTGCTGCTATGAGTTAGGGCTTCCTCTCTTCCCAATAAAGATATAGTCTAGGCAACTTAAGTTTGTTCCTTCTTTTTCTTCTTTCCCTTCTTTCTTGATGGCTCTTTTTTTGTTTGTTTTAAATTAAGTCTGGGTGTCTTTGGTAGGACAAATATTTTCTTGTCTGTCACAGGCTCTACCTGCCACGGTAATGAGTTCTTTCGTTTCTTGTTTCTATACCTTCTGAATTTCTAGGAGCATGTTAGATTACTATCTTCACTAAAAATTGAAAGAAGAAAGGAGAGGAAGGAAGGGATGAGGGAGGGAAGGAAGAAGTGAGGGAAGAAAAGAGGCTAGAAGTTTATTTATCTGAACCAAATTATAAATCTGAAAGCAAGCTTGACTCTAGTCTGGTCTGATGACATGCCTTGTACAGAAGTTGGTAAAGCTCACAAATATTTCCCAATGCTCATACCCTGAAAACAATACACAAATCAAAAAGAAGCAAAAATAAGGGCATTATTTTTGCTCCTTCTTCCACTGAAGGTCTCTTTCTTATGTTTGGATTTCATTGAAGCTCTTTCTTTATTTTTTTCTTAATATATCCACTCATTAATCCACTCATCTATGCATGCATCCTTCCAAAAACTTATTTACTCGTCCATCCAAACACCCATTCACCCTTTATCTTTCTGTTCATTCACTCATCTCTTATCTGCTCATTCATCCAAACATCTCTTGATCATCCATCAATCTTTTCTACTCATCTTTCAATGTATGCCTTCTTAAAATTAAAATGATGATATTTGAGGTCATAGGTAAAACAGATGCATGTAATATTAGCACTTGGTAGCCTGAGGCAGGAGTATCACTTCATTTGAGGACAGTCTGAGCTATATAGTGAGTTCCAGGACAGCCTCGTCTTCAAGTATGTGATGAAGAAAATAAACATAATAAAATACCCCTGGTTGCTTCATCCTAATCCCATTGTTCCTTCTCTTCTAGATGTCTAGAGAACAGGGCTACAGTTCCAGCAATGTGCTACAAATACTGTTTCCTAGACACATTGGTCCATCTTGGTACTTGCAGCTTTTTTGTCTTGCGGCATTTCCTATTTCTTGACCTTACCTGAGTGGATCTTCACCTCCTTCGTCAGCACCAAGTCTAAGTGCCTTCAAGGAATTAACATCAAGGGAGCTCCAAAACAAGCATCTAGCCTGCTATTGGAAAGCATTTTGATGAAATATGAGACATACCGTGGAGTGAAAACGGAGCATGTTTTTGCATTGCCTTTCTTGTTTGTTTAAAAAGAATGACGTTTACATGTAAAATGTAATTACTTACAGTATTTATGTGTATATGAAGTTGAAGGGACTATTGTGTTTAAGTCATTCTCATAAATTAAGCATGAAAAAATATTGCTCACCTACTTTCAGTGCTTAATGTTGTCACTGTTCTTGGATTCGTGCTGTTCTACAATAACACACAAATCCTGTGAAGTTGATTGTGAAGAAAGATCAGGTGAACTTGGCTGCAGTAAGAAAGAGGCCAGAAGGTAGTCACATGAGATTGTGGCCCCTTGTCCAGTGTTGTGAAACACTGACTAATAAGAACATAGAAAATGATTGCAAAATTAGATGAAAACCACTTTTTTTTTTACTCCTCTTGGCCCACAGTTCCAGCTGACTTGATAAAGAAAGCATGTCCTTGCAGAGGGGAATCTTTCAGGATTCCAGCTCTGGTTTGTCAGAGCTTTCAGAACAAAATCTCAGCATAAGTGATTTCCTGTTAAGCTGGCTGTGTGGGTTGGGCCTTGTGGAGCTATCTACCTGGCTGGAAGTCATGGCTGCTGGGATCTCTGTCTGGGCATCCTTCCCTGTCCCTGCTATTAGGAAATGGACTGTCAGGAAGTTGGCAAATGCACTTTCGTACCCTACTCCTTTTCTAGGCTTCCAAATAATACAAAAGTTGCTTTTGCAGAATTTGGTAACACATTTTATTAAGGTTCCAGGTACAGTTGTTTTGGTATATTTATTAAATGAATTTGGAATGTAGCTCCACTCACCGATAACTTATTTTAAACAAACAAAATAGCGAGTATGTAGTATAATTTCTAGAAATAAACAGATGACAAGGATATAATGATATAAAGATACACTTACCAAATATCTGCTGGTTGTGATATAAGGCTCTATGTCATGATAAAATGGAACCTTAATATAAACAGTTACCAATGATTTCAATTCAGTTCTTTCTACTGTTACCTATTTGCTGTATATAGGTTCTTTTTATTTTAATGCTGAAGGAAACATCATTTTTTTCCAGACACACCCATTAATCAGTCACATCATGGCAGTCACATGCTTGATTTAGATTATTTTATTTTTTTTGCTTCAAGCTGCATGATGTCCCAGCAGGACGTACTGTCTCTTTCACTCCACATGAGTTCAGTGGAAGTGCATCTTGTCCCTCAGGTGGGGGTGAATCATAATCCCCTTTCTGGTAATGGCAACTGCATTCCTAAGTCAGACAGAAAGAGCCCATGACTTTGGTCTGGGCTTCCACAATTTGTCTTGACGAATTATTTGTGTTGGCGCCATTGAGGGCGAGTTTCCTTGTGTTTTATTATCCTGCGCTTTTTACTTTTGGTGAAACTGTATTCCCAAGGCCAACACGGGATTGGGAGACTTCTGACCATGAGGATGTGAAGGGCATTTAGTCTTTCACTTGGGGCATTTGGTTGAATGGTACAAGGTGGTGGGTACGATGTGAATACGTTCAATGTACCATATTATTTTTGTAAATTATTTATGTAGTTTTAAAAACCAAGAGCTTCTCATATACATTAATGAAACATTGTTTTTTTTTTTTTGCCAAAGATTGTAAATATTTATTTATTTGTTCATTGGGTCAGATTTTCACCACTGAAACCCTACGTTTAGCTACAGCTTCATTTTTATAACAAAGATTAACAACAGCAAATAAATTATAAAAAGGTTTCTATTAATGAATCTCTCTCCCTTTTTTAAAAGAGTTAGTGGGATTCCTTCCAGAGGGGGTTGGGCATTTCACCTAGGGAGAACCCACATTTTGCCTCTTGATAGCGAAAGGGGTGTTGTCCTTTGGCTGCAAGTTTTCCTGGTGTGTGCGTGGGTTCAAAGCAGTTGTCTTCGACACAGTCCTCCTTCCACTGAAGTCCCGAGGGAGCACAGTACTCAGTCCCTCAGCAGAACCCCGGCTCCTGGTTCTCATTGTCAGGCAGGAACAGAGCCTTACAGTGACTCCAGTAAGAACCACTTTAGGGTTTAGAAAAGATGGAGACGCAGGGACTGACCATGACCATGGACACAGTTGGGCTCTTCTTCCTCTACTGAACCCAAGTAGAAGGAGCAAAGAGCAGACAGCACCCAGCAAAGCCAGTCCTGGTGTGGTGCAGAGAAGGAGTGGTCACATAGCACTGTAGCCTGGGATTTCTTCAGTACCTAGCTAATGGGAAGGTTCATGCATGTGATGGCAGAGTTAAGCAAGTGGACATGAGAGAGCAACACAGAGGTAGAGGAGGAACGGCATGGGGCAGGGACAGAGACAAAGTGGGTATCTTTGGCTCATCAGTGATGGGGTCATGAGATACAGGATCTACTTCCTGTGGCGACATGACTATTTGTAACCGGATTTTTACTACTTTGTGATTCTTCTTTCTTCCATCTTTCCCCAACCCTTTTCTTCTTCCCTTTCAACTCCCTAACACTAGATACAAGAGAAAAAAAGAATAGAGAGAAAAGGAAAGAAATCCCTAAATAAAGTCAGGAGTCAGAATGACATTATCCTTAGACTACTTCCTGCTGATTAGGGGCATCAAGTTCCTTGGGGGAAAGTTTGATCTTCACTGTCATTTTATCTAATTTCTTTTTGTTGTTTCCTCTTTGCGCATAATTATTTGATAAACCTCAGCGAACAAAACAACAACCACCTCCCCCGCCTCTTGGGGGCCCTAGCATTTATATACCCTCTGAAAATTTCCCAGAATTCCAAACATCACACACTCGAAGAAACTATCTACAGCTGGCAAAACCACACCTTTGCACGAGCACGAGATAGATCACAGTCAGCTGCTGCAAAGCAGCCCGATAGCCCCACACCTGGGATTAAAAACAAAAACATATTCTTATAATATTTCTGTGATTTTTTTTAAATGAAAATCCCAGAATTCCCACTACACCTAGGGTTGGTCAAGTTGAGCCAGTGGACTACTTTCGTAGCTATAGAGAAAAATGCCAGGCCTGCATACACCAGTGAGCCAGGCTCTGACCACAGTGGCCATGGTGGGACACAACCTCGGCTGCTCAGCAGGGGCAGTGTGGAAGGACACTGAATGCACTTTTAATTCAAGAAACGCGAGAGACACAGGAAAGGATTAAGCAGTGCTGAAGAGCCAGCCTTAAAGTGGAGCATTGCTCCGTCACTCAGTCGCACCTTGGTTTTTCTATTTGATCATCTGTGAACAAGCATGTGGTCTCTGACAGCACCCCCTGCCTGCCCCATGGCCCTAGGCACATCAGAGTCCTCAGGATTGCATCTTGTGTGTCCACTACCTGACCAGGAGTGAGGGGTCCCTTGGAATTTGGTGGCTTATGTGAGAGAATGGCCCCACAGATACCCTCTTCTGCTTCTCACACATGCTGCACGATCTTCAGGCTGCTTTCAGTCTAGAGCCAAACACCATGATTCTGGAAGCTGAGACTTTCTGCTATAGGTGACAAAGGACTGGAAGTCCGGTGTGAACTCTGGGTTCACTCCTGTGCAGTGAAGGAGTCCATGTTATAACAGACCTCTTGTTCCCCAAGTGACTGCTCTTGGGGTGTGCAACTACCAGGAAGGGAGAAAGTTTTGGGGAAGAATCATAATAATGATTATCAATCCTAGATTTTTGCTTTTCCCAGTGCAAGGCCAAACTGTTCTTTGGCCATGAAAGCTTTTGCAAGTTTTGGAAACTCAGGTTGACTTTTCTCGCTTGCTCTGGGTTTCTAGAGCAGCCTTTCTGGATCCAGGAGCAGAACGATCACTGAGGTGCAAGAACCAGATGAGGAGAGTCAGGGTTACTTCACTAGTTCTGGGGCCTCGGTTCAGTGAGCAACAGTGCATTGAACTGGTGACACATACATACATTGGGGGTTCTGCTGGAAAATGAGAGCATGCAAGAGACACTTCTGTGAGCCCTTCCTTACTCAGGCTTTTCCAGAGCTAACATCCCAGTGCTAGTGAGGCATCTGAGAGAACTGAGGGCGTCATTGGCCATGTCAGCTGCCTCCCGGGATGTGCGCTGCTCTGTTCCCAGGATATGCTTGGCAGAGCATACTGTTCAGAAGACAGATCTCCGTGCCAAGGTAGCCAGGACAGTAGCCTGGGAACTCCCTTAGGTATTTTTGCCAAGAAGCCCGTGCTGCCAGTTACCAAGTATCTGCCCTAGGCATCTCTTACCTTCTGTTGCTTCTGTATAACACAGGAGTAAAGCGGCTCACCTCTGACACTTCTCACTCCTGGTGAGTTCTGAGAGGCCTTGAGTACTGACGCTAGGCACCCATCCTCACCTTGCCTCCTCGGAAGCACTGTGTGTTGCCGGTAGCTGTGGCAGCACGCCTCCACTTACAGGCTGAATTTGGGTTTTCATATTTAGATGCCCTCTGCATCTTCTGATGGCCTTCCCACTCCGTGCACATCAGACCTTAGGAGAAGTGATATTTTTAACATTCAGCTTCCCACGTGCTTGGCTCAGAAATCCAGAGGATCAGGTCTAAACTGAGCGTCCTGTGAACAGGTGTCGGATGTTTTTGTCTTCTCACAGGCCAGGCAGCAGCTGAGGAGGGGAGGTTGAGGCACGAAGAAACACCTTACGATGTCAAAGCCTACGGTTCTGGAGCGGATTCTTCTGAGAAACCATGGAACAGGTTAATGTGCACATCTGTGTGTGTGTGTGTGTGTGTGTGTGTGTGTGTGTGTGTGTGTGTGT